TGGCCACCAGAACTCAAGCGCCGGCCATGGTGATGGTGTGGTTCGCCATAACAGCCGATGGTCACTCTCCGCTTGTATAAATCGACCGTGGCATCAGAATAAATGCCGAATATTATCGCGAAAATATTCTGGAGGATGTATTAAAGCATTGGGCACGCAAATATTTTGGCCGCAGACCTTGGAGATTTCAACAGGACTCAGTACCATCGCACTCAGCACCCGTTACCCAAGAATGGTTACAAAATGAGGTTCCTCGGTTCATTTCCAGCGCACAATTACCACCAAAATCTCCGGATACCAATTCGTTGGACTATTGTGTCTGGAGTATTTTTGAAAGCAAGGTTGGCACTAAAAAATACCAAAGTGTCGATCACCTCAATCAAGCGCTCCGCCGGGAATGGGCCAAAATACCGCAAGCAACATTCGGGCAGCATGTGACGGTTTCATTAGCCGTTTGAAGGCCATAATTCGTGCCAAAATTGATCAATTCGAACAAATCTAATCATATTCTAAAATTTGATTCTATTTCCGACATTTTTTGCTTTCATTCAATAAAATTAAAAAAAAAAATAAAAATTATGGCGTTTGACTTTGTTGCAGTCTTCTTCTCACTCTATATATCTACTAAAAGCAATTATCTTCCCATTCACTTTGGTTCAAAGTCCCTTTCACCTGTGTACAAAATGAGAAGGATTCCCTCCTCGCTCTTCATTCATTTTTCAATTCTATTTATTCGGCTCGGTTGGATTGAATGTAGCAAAGCGAGGAAATACAGAACTACTTATTCTGCATGTTCTTTCATTCAAGTTGACTTGCGTGCCCTCTGAGCGCATCCATATCTTGCACATTTTCGTATGCGGCAGCGCATAAGATCACTTAATTGTACATATGCTATATTTTATGACAGCCGAATAATTGATCATTTGGGAATATTTATTTTTTAGTGTTAGATTTTCACAGCGCCTCACTCTCACCCAAGGGTACGAGTATGTACAAAGTAATTTGTACACCAGAGTTTATGGTTGAGAAATGGGGAAGTGTGATATAAATATTCCGCATCATATGTCTCATAAAGTGACTTTCTGCTATGTTCTATTGGATCAGATTTAATTGCGTTTTTCATTTCATGTTCTTTGTAGCGTATAATTATTATCATAACGTATACGCAAGCGGGTTCCATTTATATTTGAAATTGTCTCAACTATGGATATTAAGATTATTTAGATAATTATACATTACATAGATAATTTTCCAAGAATATGTAATTTTTCAGATATGTCAGAAATATTCTGACTTAAGATATCATCGAATATTTATTTGAGAAAGTAGAATCCATATCGATTTCTAATTTGGCAGTAAAGAAAATATTTGAAAAATTTAAACCACTTTTAAGGTATGTATCTCAAACAAACTTTCAATTTTGCATATTGTCCGCATATCATCGCCAAAAAAATCTCCAAAAATCAATGGAATTTTTTTGCAAATATCTCCCATTTGCTTTGGTTCAAAGCACTTTGCACCGGAGTTTAGTGTCGAGAAATGGGGAAGTATGTTGAATGCTATTAAATTAATTATAATTCCGTTTATCTCTCTAAACATCTTCGTAGCACACAAAGTGTGTAAACAATTCCCCATCGTTTGATGACCACAACAAAAGCTGTAAAGAATTTCAAATTGTTATCTTTTTCTTAAAATCAGAACACCGGCCAACAGCAGCAGCAACAGACCTTCGGTGGCCATGCAAATCACGTTTGTTTTGATTTTTTTCACTGTGCAAATCTTTTTAAAATCTTAATGTTTAGATCAATGGCTGGAAGACGTCACAACAAATGATCAAACAACAAAAAATTGACAAAAGATGATGATCGTCCAATTTATTTTGGCGAACAACGGAAAAACCCAGCCCAAGAAACCACAAATGGACATTTCTCCCAAAACCCCCAGAACAACGGAGATAAAATTACAAGTGGTCGCAACTACGCAAATGAGCGTTTGAATGAAATTCTAATAACCCGGCTCAAATGAAGTGGAACCCGAGAGCTGCGAAAACAAAAAAAGAAACGCACAAAACCAAATAAAGCGAATGCAACCAAAAAAATGTTCAAATATGCCCCACCACGTGAACGCAGAATGATAACCACCTATTTGACTATATTTGAGAATGTTCGATCGAACCAGCGAGAACGACAAGAAAAAATGTAGAGACATTTATTTTTTGGCCAGCAAATGACTCCGGAAATGCTTCGTGGGTTCTAGTGACGCTTTGTGAAAGACAGGCCAAAGTCAGAGGACAAATGTTGCCATATCTTGTTATTTGGTAAATAGGGAGGATTTTTTGGATTAAGGGCCAGCTATAGGTCTTCAATAGCCCCGAAAAAAATTGTATAATAGTGTAATATCGCACAATATGAACCCACACAATTGGCCTCCCGAACATGAAATAAAATGTGTACCGAACTCGCCGACTCAAATGAAGTAGAACCCGAGTGCTGCAAAAAAAGAGAAACGCATGAAAAAAAAAAACAAATGCAACCAAAAAAATGTTCAAATATGCCACACCACGTGAACGCGGAATGACAACCACCTATTTGACTATATTTGAGAATGTTCGATCGAACCAGCGAGAACGACAAGAAAAATGTAGAGACATTTATTTTTTGGCCAGCAAATGACTCCGGAAATGCTTCGTGGGTTCTAGTGACGCTTTGTGAAAGACAGGCCGAAGTAAGAGCCGAAATGTTGCCATATCTTGTTATTTGGTAAATATGAAGGATTTTTGGATACTGGGCCAGCCGCTAGTCCTCGATAGCCCCATAAAAAATGTAAGAAAGCGTTATATCGCACAATCTGACCCTCCACCAAATTGTTCTCCCGAACGTGAAATAAAACGTGCACCGAACTCGCGTTTTAATAAGTCCATTCTTACATGTATTGTGTGGCAATAGACAGAAGACCTTCCACATGTCTTCTATGGATGGAATACCTTCCACAGGTTTTTTTTTATAGAATGAAGACCTTCACAGATCTTCAATAGATATACGATCATCTTCAGGTCTTCTATAGATGGAAAGAAGACTTTATGGAGAGAAGACTTTCCACTGGTCTTCTATGGAAAGAAGACTTTTCACAGGTCTTCTATTGATAGAAGATCTTCCCCAGGCATTTTGTGGATAGAAGATCGTCCACAGGTCTTCTATAGATAGAAGACCTTTCTATAGGTCGGAGACCTTCCACAGGTCTTTTATGTATATAAGGTACTGCGCAGGTCTTATATAAAGAGAAAAGATCTTCCACAGGTCTTCTATAAATAGAGTACCTTCCACAGGTATTTTATAGATAGAAGACCTTTCACAGGTCTTCTATGGAAAGAAGACTTTCACAGGTCTTCTATGGCAAGAAGACTTTTCATAGGTCTTCTATGGAAATAAGACTTTTTACAGGTCTTCTATGGAAAGAAGACTTTCCACAGATCTTCTATGGAAAGAAGATCTTCTCCAGGTATTTTGTGGATAGAAGACCATCCACAGGTTTTCTATGGATAAAAGATCTTCCACAGGTCTCCTATAGATGGAAGACCTTCCACAGAACTTTTATAGATAAAACCTCCAAAGGTCTTCACAGGTCTTCTATGGCAAGAAGTCTTTTTACAGGTATTCTATGAAAAGAAGATCTTCCCCAGGTATTTTGTGGATAGAAGACCATCCACAGGATTTCTATGGATAGAAGATCTTCCACAGGTCTTCCATAGATAGATGACCTTCCACAGATCTTTTATAGATAAAAACTCCAAAGGTCTTCTATATATAAAAGATCTTTCACAGGTCTTCCATAAATGGGAGACCTTCCAGAGGTCTTTTATGTATAGAAGGTATTGCGCAGGTCCTACATAAATAGGAGACCTTCCACAGGTTTTCTATGGATTGAAGATCTTTCCTAGATCTTCTATAGATAGAAGGCTTCTCACAAGTCTTCCATAGATAGGTGATCTTTTGCAGGTCTCTTGTAGATGGAATACATTCCACAGGTCTTTAAAAGATTAAATACATTCCACAAGTCTTTTAAAAATAGAAGATCTTCACAGGTCTTCCATAGATAGAAACTCCTCCTTAAGTCTTCTATAGATAGAAGTCCTTCCACAGTTTTTCTATAGATGGAACATATTCCACAGGCTTCCCATAGATAGAAGACCTTCCACTGATCTTTTATGATCCACTTATGTATGGATACAAGACATTCCACAGGTTTTTTGCAGATAGAAGACTTTCCAAATTTCTTCTAAGGATAGAAGACCTTCCACACGTCTTCTATATATCATTTTTTTGGATCTTCTTTACATAAATGACCTCTCGGTAGTCTTCTTTAAGGCTTTCCAGACCGCAGATCTTCCACAGATATTCCCAAGATTAAATGCCTTCCATTTTGATAATACTTAAAAGACCTCGTGGTGTGAGATTGCAAACGCAGTCATTTTCCCCATTTCTCTTAGCACATCTGGCAACGCCAACGAACACACAGAGAGCCCGCGTAAGCCCAGTTGAAGGAAAAAAAAGTTTGCTACACTTCTCTCGAACAACGGGAAAAAAAATTAAAGAGAAGTGCCGCAGTGTCTGTCGTCGGCGTGTCTGTTCGAAATAATAAAACAAATACTCGATTTTCAAATCGGGTTTTAGCGAAGGCACACAAAACCAAAGCAATTCAAAAGGTTCAAAAGCGGTGGGGGAAAGAGTGTGGTGGGTATGTTTGGACTAGACGGCGACTACTGCTACGAACAAGTAGAGTAGAGTAGCCAACAGAGAGCGCAATGATTGATTGATCGTGGCAAATACGAGTAGCTGAAATGAGAGGCGGGAGTTTTATTATTAATTCGCGGTATTATTGTTGTTGTTGTTGTTGTGGATGTTGTTTGAATGTACAACAACAACAAGAAAAGCCGACCAACCGAACGTTGGTTAAAATGAAATTTTTCGCTTTGATTTTATAAAAGACAAGGTTTGAGCCATAAACGAAAACAGTCACAACTCAAACTTGGACGAAGTAACAAAGTGTGGAAATCAAATAAAATAAAATTGCAATAAAATAAATTTAAAAAAAAAAATCAAAACAAAAATACAAAATAAAATTCAAAACAGAGCAAAAATTGTGAAACAAAAGAGAGAAAAAAATAATAATAATAATTATAGTAAAAAAATAAAACAAAAGAAAAGAAAATAATATAAATTACTTATATAAAAATATACCCACCATTATTGGAAAAATTAACCACAACTCAGTTTTCCGCGGCAAAGTGAATCAAAAAAGGCAGTTGCAGTGTGAAAAAGTAATTACCATAAATTATGAAATTAAATTATTTAACTAAAAAAAATAAACGTAATTAAGTTAAGACAAAGATTGATGAGAACGGTTTCGTAATAATATCCAAATTTATAAAAACAAACAACCTTTTCGAAATAAAAACAAATGCATAAAAATAAAATATTAAAAACGAAAACGTTTAATCATCTTCAGAAACATGTATTTTTGTGAACGAGAAAAAAAAATACCAAAAATGGAATTTATTTATAAAACATTTAGTTTTTGGAAAAAAAATGTTTGGCTAAAAAAAATGAAAATCAAAATAAAAATTTTGAAACATTTTTTTTTTTTTTTTTTTTTTTTTGAATTTCAAATGTTTATAATTTTAATAGATAATGTCAATTTTTTAGACGAACTTCATAAAATTAGCAGTGAAAAGGAAAAAAATTAAATAAAAAATATCCAAAATTTTGATCATCAAAAGTCAAAATATTTTTTTTTTCAATGCCTTGATGTTATTAGATACCTACCATGTGTTGCAATAAAATAACTCTGTTTTTGGTTATAAACAATTTTGCTTGTGGGTTAATATTTTACCGGCGGTTTTGCGAGTTTTCTTATTTTATCTCAGTTTTAGTGTAACCTCAATATTCAAAAATTCAGTTCTTCAAAATATATTGCAATTATAAACAATTAATATTAAATGAAGGGTACATTTGCAAAAGCAATTTGGAAATAGATTTATAACGGCAATGGCAATATTCTCTTTGAAAATCTAAATAATGCCCACTCTCATGGAGTTTTAATTTATAAATAGTTCGGGATATGTTATTCACGTTTCGAAATTTAAAAATTGCAAAAAAAATAGAATGTTTTGAATATTGAGACAAACTAAAATTCAAAAAAAAAAGTCACGTTTTTAATACCAGGCAGTAAGCTGTGATACCAATAGAAAAAATTTCAGAAAAATATGATTTTTTAACTGAAACCATATCACCGGTTGCTAATACCGTTTAGTTTCGATTTCCTCCATTTTCAAAGTAAAAGGCGAGCTCAAAGAAAATTTTCAACAATAACTCTCGAAGGGAGTATCCGATTTGGCCCATACTTGGTCCATCGCAATATTATTATCAAACTTAGATCACGTTCGGAAATGGTCAATATCGGTCCATCCCTTCTAGTACCACCACCGCAAAGGTTAACATTTTCCAAAAATGTATTTTACTGCACAAAAAGGGAAAGGATAATCCGTTTTCGCTCCAACTTTGCAAATCCTAGTATTTGCATGAATGCTAGGCCAGGTGAAAAAAATGGAAAATATCGGTCCACTCCATCAAGTACCTCCTCCACAAAGGGTCACAATTTTGAATAATTATAACTCTTATAAAAAGTGATGTAAGAGTCCGGTTATCTTCAAATTACAAACATCACTATATTTTTATTAAACCAAGGTCTGGTGTGAAGATTGAATATATCGGTTCACTCCTTCTGTTACCTCAATTTATGAAGCTCCTAAAATTAATACCCGATTCCATTCAGACTTAACACATCTCCATATTTCCATCAACACAAGATCTGATATAAAGATGGTAGAGATCGGCCCACACATAGGGTCAAAGTTTTAAATAACCAAAACGACTACAAAATCCAAAATAAGCATCCGGTTCTCTTCATGTTACACACATCCCATAATTTCTACTAACACAGTATCTGCTGTAAATATGGGATACATCAGACCACTCCTTCTGGTACTTCACCCAAAATGGGTCAAAATTTTTAATATCCATAAAGCTCCTAAAACGCGAAATTAATATCCGATTCCATTAAGACTTGGTACATCTAAATATTTCTATCAACACAAGATCTGTTATAAGGATTACCATCTTATTACCAACAGATCGGACCATTCCTTCTGGTACCTCCCACACAAAGGGTCAAAGTGTTGAATAACCAAAACCATTACAAAATCCGAAATAAGCGTCCGGTTCTATTCATATCTCACATATCCCATTATTTCTACTACCCCAAGATCTGCTGCGATCGGTCCATTGGCTCTGGTATCTCCCCCACAAAGGGTCGACATTGAATATCCATGAAGCTCACAATACGCGAAATTAACATCCGATTCCATTAAGACTTGGTACATCTCGATTTTTCTATCAACATATCTGCTGGTACCTCCCCCACGGAGGACTCAACATTTTGATAAACAAAACGCGAAATAAGCATCCAACTCCCATCAAATTTACACATACAAACATTTTTGCTAACACAAGATCTGTTGTGTGAAGATGATATATATCTGTCAACCCCTTCTGGGACCTCACCCATAAATGGTAACAATTTTCCAGACTCCTATCTGTCATAACTTGCGAAACAATTTAGTGACTCTTTACAACTTGATATATCTAAATATTTCTCTCAACCAGAAACCTGAGATGAATATGGAATTTATGATTTCACATAAAATTGGATAAAAATGTTCGATTTTCTTGTCATTTTACACATAGTCGAACATTGGCTGAGGGTATACATCTTTCGGCAAAACCGACTGCTACTTTTTAACTTGTTCTGTTAAGGATTTGCTTTACCTTTGCATCAGTGTTGAGTACACATACCAAATACTCGTTCTAATATGTAATTATTTCACTTATTTTAATTAAATTGTTAAACAAATTAGATTTCCGCAATGTTTTTGTCATTGTTGTTATTTAAAGTGTTAAACAAAAATTTGAAAAAAAAAAAAACAAATTTTTTCAATTGAATTTTCTTGAACCGGTAGGTCATTAAACTTGAATTTAATGTAACATAAATTTAACAAAGTTGTCATAATTATTTTGCCGTGTTGTTGTTGTTGTTGTTTTGTGCTCAAACCCTGATGATGTTTATTAAAACAAATGTTTTGATGATTAACTGGAGCAAAAGGGTTTTGTTGTAATTCGTAATTTGACAGCCGTTTTGCCCGACTCCAGCTGTGAGAGGTAAAACACAAGTGGAATTTCCATTGGCTTAAAATCGACTTAGGGTTTTGTTTTTGCCATGAAGGTTAATATTTCTGTAATGTTAGAGCTTTTAGTTCCATTAAAGCATTAAATTATTTTTCGTGTTTACTTCTAAGCATTTCGTGTTTGTTGTGTTCATTCGCTGTTTCTTGAGCGAACCAGTGAAGCGTGAAATCTGACTAATTAATAGTGACATTGAAAAAATGTTTTTTCGGTAGCCTACAATAAATTGGGGATTTAGGAACAAAGAATTCGAGAAGAATAATTGTTTGGTTTAAATACAAAATTTCAAAATAAATTTGAAAAATAGATGACAAGCGACAACTTTGTATTCGATAGTTTCCCTAAAATTGGCCAGTCTAGTAACAAGATACTATAAATTTTAGGAAATGTAATGGTTATTATACAGGGTGAAATAAAAAACTGAAACAAAATCAAACGCAATAACTTTTAAATATTATTTTTAAATTTTATTGAATGAAAGCAAAAAATGTCGGAAATAGCATAAAATTTTAGAATAAGTTTAGATTTGTTCGAATTTGTCACATTTTGCACGAATTATAGCCTTCAAACGGCCAATGAAACCGTCATTCGCTGACCGAATGTTGCTCTGCGGCGAAGCGCTTGCTTGAGGTGATCGACACTTTGGTATTTTTTAGTGCCAACCTTACTTTTCAAAATACTCCAGACACAATAGTCCAACGGATTGGTATCCGAAGATTTTGGTGGCCATTGTGCGCTGGAAATGAAGCCCAAGGCTTTAATACACCCTCCAGAATATTTTCGCGATAATATTCGGCATTTATTCTAATGCCACGGCGATTAATACAAGCGGAGAGCGACTATCGGCTGTTATGGCGGCCCACACCATCATCATGGTCGGCGCTTCCGTTCTGGTGGCCAACCGAAGGTGCACATTTTCAGCTAACCTCTTTGGCAAGTAAACACGTTCATTTTGTTCGTTTACAAACTGCTAGACAACGAATGTTTTCTCATCGGAGAAAACCAAATTCGGCAGTTCGCCACTTTCGGCCAAGTGAAGCAACTCTTTAGCCCTTTTGAGTCTATTTTCTTTCTGTTGCGGTGTAAGGAATTTCAATATCTTTACCACGAGCCCATTTTTCAATATTTGCCGAATGGAATATAGCGATATGTTCAGCTCACGAGCCACTGCGACGCGGGTTTCGATCAAGTCGCTTCTTTACTTTTCGAACCCTTTCTGCTGATGTTGCTGTTTTCTTCCGTCCACTTCCTTGACGTTGAGCTACGCTACCAGTATCACGGTAACGAGCGATGGTACGAGACACAAAAGATTTATTCACATTTAAATACTGGAGTGCTCTAACGATAGCCAATTGTGGTTTTCCAGCCAAATATAAAAAAAACCAAACTATCACGCTTGAATTCCATCAAGAATAACTTTTTGTGCTTGTAAAAAATATAATGAGCTGTCACTGGAATAATTTTAACAGCTGTCGGACCAGTGTCTTAGAAATGACAGCAGTCTGAAGTTGGATGCAGTTTTTTCATCTCACCCGGTATTCTAAGGTTCAATGTATCACATTTTAAAATTTTGGATATCTGTGTATACCTAAAAAATTGTGTTTTTGTTTTCTGCCCATTAATTTTATTCGAATATACATAAGCAAGCCGGTAAGCAAGCAAAGGTTTACAATTTTGAAAATTTTAATTAAAGCATTTTTTCACAATTTTGATAAATTTTAGGTTTAAAATTGAAGCCTTTTTCATGCCTAATTCAAATTAAAAATCGTAAAATTTCAAAGAATTTAATTGAGACATTTAATGATTTCGGGATTTTTGTGCGAAAATATATTTGTATTTGAGTAATGACCTAGTTTTACCAACAATGTAATCCCCTCTTGCATAAAGCCAAACCCACACCATTTATGTGTGTAGGGTATAATTAGCCAAGGCATTAGTCATAGAAATACAACTACATATTAAAAAAAACGACAAAATAAAACAAATTAAACAAAAACAATCTCTATAATAAATTCCTTTTAATAATAAACATTTTGTTTATTTAAATTGTAGCAGTGGAATTTGCAACAACAACAACCGTAGCAGTAGCAGTCAAAACATAGCGAAAGAATCATTCATCCCCTACAACCAAAAAAATAAAGCCAACATCTAAAGCAGTATCGTCAACTCAAGTCCACAAATTTAATAAAAACTTGTATTTTTTGTGAGTGATTTTAAGTACTTAGTATTATAACAACAACGAGTGTGAACCAAATATATATATAGTACACAACAGCAACAAAAAGAATATTATCCGCTTAGAAGAAAACCCAATATTATTTTTTTTATAAAATTTGTTTGTGTTGTGTTTTTGTGCAAAAAGCAAAAATAAAAAATATTGTCTATTCGTTCGTTATACTGGCTACGATAAAAGAATTCGAAAAATTCCAAAATGAAATTGAATCCGGCCTCGGATCACGTCTACTTCAACGATGGCTTTAAATGCTCTTCGATCAGTATTAATACAAATCTTAATGAATCGTCGAATGCCGATGTAAATGGCGCTGATAGCGGCAATGGATCGCAGGGCTCGAATGAGTTTATATGTAAGTACATATTATAAAATTTTACAAAAATAAATATTTTTTTATTCTATTTATTTATAACAAAAAAATTGTAATGTAGAGATTGTGTTCTGTGTCTTTACAAAATTAAATGCAAATGAACAGCACAATTTTAAATGTATTTTTCAAAATGTTGGTTTTTACTCAAAATATTTGGAATGATATATTGATATTTTTCGCATTCAAATTTTGCGTCGTCATAAAGAAACAGGAACACAATTTTGAAAAAAAAAAAACATTTGGTCTAAAATTGATTCCCAAAATCCTTATCTTAAACGTAGTAATTTGTTTAAAAAAATGTATGGAAATCCTCTTTCAGCTAACAAACGTGCTTTTTATATATATTCTGGATCAGCGTAAAATTCTAAGACGATCTAGCGATGACCCTCTGTCTGTCGTAATCACTCTTTCGAACGAATTGAAATAGAATGCCAAAATGTACATGCATAGTTTACCAGTGGGTAAATTATGTTCGTAAATGGGCCATATCGGTCCACGTTTTCGTAAAGCCCCCATTTTACGGTACCTCCCGATATTCGGTACTTTCATGATTTTAGCGACATTATTTACCGGAATTATTTCAAATTTCGTATTTGAAGTTTGTAATGGGTGCTAGAGCCTATGACAAAAATGTTTGTATTCAGGTCCACGTCTTCTTATAGCCCCCATAAGACGGTACCTCCTGATACTCGGCATTTTTATGATTTGTGCGACATTATCACCGGAACTATTTCAAATTTGATATTTGAAGTTCGTAATGGGTACTACAGCCTATGACAAAAAAAAATCGTAAGTAGGTCCACGTCTTCGTTTAGTCTCCATATAACAGTTTTCACTTAAATGGTAATTTCCGGAAGATTTAAAAAAAATTAAGTTCCTTTTAAATAGTAGAGGGTAAAAAGGTTCGGCCCGGCAAAGTTTCCTGCTTTTATACTTGTTTCCTGCTTTTTTACCACCGCCAGATCTCCACACCAAAGACCTCAGTATCACATACCGGAATTCCAGCTACATACATTCTCTCAATACCAAATTTAGTACTTTTCGTATAATTTTGGTATACATTTCCAAAACCACTTCCATATCTTAACCAAAGACATCAACAGTGACATCCATATCAAATTTCAAGGTTCAGACCTATCCCTTGACCCAATAATAAATTTAGTACAATTTAATACTTTTGGTATAATTTTAGGACACATTTCCAAAACTACCACAAGATCTCCACACCAGAGACCTCAGAATCTCATGTCGGGATTCCAGCTTCATACATTCACTCAACCCCAAATTTTAGTACACATTTCCAAAAAAAAAATCTTAACCAGAATTTAAGCTCTATACATTCACTCAATTCCAAATTTAGTACTTTTCGTACAATTATGGTACACATTTCCAAAACTACCTCCATATCTTAACCAGAGACGCCAACAGTGACATACATATCAAATTTTAGAATTCCAGCTCTATATCTTAACCCAATACCAAATTTTGTACTATTTAGTACTTTTCTAAGAACTACAAATTTCGACCTTAGATACCTACAGTAATCTGAAATATCAAATTGCAGAATTTTATATATCCCCTTAGCCAAGCACTATCTGTCCAACCAGTACCAAGTTGTACCAAATATACACTTGTGCACTTGTAGTACTCATTTCCAAAACCACCTATTTATCTCAAAACTACCACCAACCAGCTTCATCCAATCGCCCTAAACCAAACCGTTCAAAATTTAGTACCAATTAGTACAGATCGCACACTTAGTACACATTTCCGAAAACCATCTCCATATATTAAACTTACCTGCATCTCATACCACATTTCAAATTTATAGCTCCATCGGTTCACATAGTACCAAAAGGCTTTTTAATATTTTAGAACTTTTCGTAACCACAAAGTTCGAATTTCCAAACCCCTTTGGTACATCTATCCTGCACTCCATCAGCTGATTCCGTTAGTCCAATACAGATTTTTCAATTTTTAGTACGAATTTTCACACCTCCCACTAAGCCTGACCCCTGAGCAAAATTTCAATATTCTAGCTGCCGCCGTTTCGTCTGGGCGTTGATTCGCAGTCAGTCAGTAATATTATTCTTTTATATATAGATAAATATATTCTGTAGATCCAATTTTGTATTTATCGCTGTTCCACTGTGCTGCACCAGATATCGATATCAAAATATTGGTTTTGTGTTCAAATCTAATTTATTATTCACGAATAAAAATTACTGTCATTCCAATTAAAACTAAATTTTAAGTTTTTTTTTTGTGGTCTCAAAACCTTTCTCAAAAGAAAAAAAATCAAATCAAAACTGGAATTTTTGTTATGCTTTCAAAACAAAACCCACAAATGATGCGCCCCCATAAATTAGTTACACTGGATGAATTTCGTTTTGAAACCCGAAAAAAGAAATTTATGGAATTAGTTAAAAAAACAAACAAAATATTTATGACGTAGTTAATGGAGTCAAAATAAATGTAGCGTTGGAGAAAGACAGTGGATGCTTAAAGAAAAAAAAAATGGGAAATATTTTTATTATAAAAAATTGTAAAAAATCGTATTTTCCACTATGAATTTTTTACAATCCAATTTCAAATAATTACTTATTTACTTACTAAAATTCGAAACGTTTCGATTGCTGTGATTTCCATAACTTTTATTTCATATTTTTCTCTTCAAAACAATGCTTTGAAATATTTGAATATTTTCCCATAAAACTAATTTGAAAAAGTCGGAAATGCCTTTATTTTCCAATGCGAAGCGACAAAAAATAAGCTTGCAAATTTATTATAATTATGTGAACCATAAAAATTGAATGCTGGCTGAGAAATTATCGGCAACAAAAAAAAACGCTTCATAGAGGCCGCCGCCTCACCTGTTGAACACGGCTGCTGCTCTAGAGAATCACCCTCCAGACATCTCAATTGTGACGTCTGTCTTAGATTTGCTGTTTTTTGTTTTACATTTTTTTATCCGGGATAAAATCACATTCCGGTTAGTTATAAATCAAATTGTTTTTTTAATAAACCGAGACAATAAAGAATTAAACTTCAATTGCAAACAAAAAATTATCAATAATGGAATTTTAAGTGATTTGGAATGCGTTTTTTTTTTGTACGGTTGTTTGGTCGTTAATAATAAGCCCCTCTTAATTAATTGGATCCGGGTGAATAGCTTAACCGCAAAAATATTGTTTCGTCAAAACATTCCATTCATCCGGCATGTGGCATTGGGTATCTGGTTTTTTGGGGGATCTCTTGGTATTTTTAAAATAAATAAATTTTGCCTTGAGCATTAAAAGAAAAAAATTAAATATTTTCAGAAGGAATTTCGAAAAATGAATGGAAATAAACCAAATTGTGGGATAATTAATTTATATGTGATTTTTCTTGGAACTAGCAAACAATTACTGGTTCTATTAAAATACACTAATTATTTTCGGAATTGATGCAATTTTGATCGATGAAACATGCTTCTAGAGAACCCCTCGAGGGATAACATAAATAGTCCATTGTGGAAATCTCTAACACCGTTCGGGGAATCTGTCAACAACTTTCTAGGAACCCTCTATGGGATCCAGAATAGCTCTTTCTAAAGTCTGTAAAGACTCCATAAATACCCCTATAAAGTCAATAGTCTATAACAAATGTATAGAGAGCTCCATTTTGAAATATATAGCATATCCCGCCCAGAATCATATTTAAGCTCTTTCCTGCTAGCCCATAGATACCATAAGTTCATAAAGGCTTCCTTTGGAACTTTTTCTAGGAGGCTATAAAGACTACCTAATGGAACTCTATAATTACTGCACAATAGGAATCTATAATGACTAATTTATGGTTGTCTACAAAGACCCCCTTGTGAGAACCAGTAAAGACTCGCATTGTCCGAAGACCCCATTGTGTGAATCATGGTGGGTCTAAAAAGAGACCCCTTTGAGAGTCTATAAAGACCATTGTTTTAAAGTCTTCCTTTTAAAAAAAATTTAAAGACCACTTTTAACTTAAGAAGAACTCTCTTATGGGAGTCTATAAGGGCTTACAAATGAAGGTCTGGAACGGCTTCCGTCAGGCAATCAATAGAAGCTACCTTATGGAATTTTGAGATTCCAGCCGGTTAGAAGTTTGTAAAAACCCTGTTTCGGCATCTGCTTCATTCTGGTATTTTAATTAAAATCTCTTTTGGGATTTTATTGAGGAGACTCCCCTAACCAGATATATTAAGATTAATTCGGTTCCTTTTCAGAAACCTTTTAATACGATTCCATTTGGGGTATCTAGTAAGAATCTCTCCGGCAGTCTGAATATGCTCCCATATGGGATTCTATAAACACTCTCTTTGCATTCTACAAAGATTCTCTTACTGGAGTCTGTAAAGGCATCCTTCATGGAGTCGATAAAATACTACATTTTTGATGCCTTTCGGGAGCCTAAATATGTGTTATTCTGGTACTAGTATTATATTGAGACTCTCTTTTGTAGCTTAATTAAAATGTAAACTATTGGCTGTCCAGGAACTTATGGGAGTTTATAAAGATCAATAATGTTTCCATTGCAGGAGTCCATAAACCCTACTTTCTGCGGTCTAAAATAGCTTTTTCTATATAGATATTCCCATTCTGGTAGTCTATGATGGTCCTCTTCAGGAAGTCTACCCACTGACCTCCTTTTTATAAAGCACAAAGTATCCCAGAAAGTTAGCAATTTCTTACTTCTTAGAGTCTGTAACTCCTTTCTTCTAGGTGTCTTTAAGACTTCCTTCCTTTTTGTCCGAGGTCCAAGAACCTTCCACAATGGAGATTTTATATCTTGTACAAGTCTATTAAGACCACCTTCTAGCATTCTTTAAGGAAAATATTTGTAAATCTTTTAAATCTGCCTTTCGTAAAAAGTTTATCTTCAGTTGTTTTATTAAAACGCCTCCAAGTGCGCTCTTAAGGCTATTTTTGGTTTTTTTAAGATTTCCTTTTGTCTTCCAGACTTGC